AAGAAACACCAACCACACTTTTAAATAGGCTTTTAAGAGTGGTTGTAGATGCTTTTTGAAAAATTTATATTTTATAAATATATTAAAAAAATTATTTATAATATTAATAATATCAAAATAATATAAAAATATAAAACAATTAATTGTATAGAAAATTTCAAATTTTCCTCAATCATGTTAGAAATGCAAAGTCAAATGGAGGCTTTCTTTCAAGACACTCCATGGAGATCATCAGCATCCTCATCCTCCTCTTCGGTCCAGCCATAATGACACTTTATAATATGAAATAATAAATAAGTCACCAAGGATTTTATAATAAAGTCTTATGCAATGAATTGACTAAATTAATGTAGAATAATGAGACAGTTATTTGTCCATATATCACCTGAACTCCAATCACATTTCTTTGCTTGGTTTATATCATAAGGTAGATGACAGTTGAGCGAAATTGTTCCAAAGGCTTTTTTTTACAATACATTTGTTGTTTTTTTCTTGGAGTTGAGAGATTCCATTGATATAAATATAAAATTAGGAGGAAAAGACCTCCAAAAAAAAAAAAGGGTAGCTTATTTTGATATAAATATAAAATTGTTTCAAAGGGTTTTATCGTCATTCTTCTTTACGGTATTCAAATTATTTTTATATATATAAAGTCCATTAATATAATTCTTAAAATTTAAAATGTAAATAGTTTTAAGAAATATTGTTTTTAAATATTTCTTGAAGCACTCACTCTTTGTGAATTTCAAAGGTAGCTTCTTATGATGTTTGTCGACGTTAAATGTTTCATGAAAATGGAAAAAAAATTCACATATATGGAGTTTTGTGATCGTTAGAAGAAATATAATTTCAATTGGTGATGAGTTTTATTTCCCTTTCAGATGTGTTGAATAATATTTTAATTTTTTTTTTAAATTATAAAAAAAATCTAATAACAAAACAAGTAAAATGAAAAGTATATTTATTGTGGCCATGGATATATTTTACTATTCATCGCTATAATGTATTAATTATTTTACTCATTATAAAAAAAACTAATATTTTTGTTTTTAAGGGTATTTTTATCTTTTCATACGGCTTATTAGTTATTATTTTGTCTTTTTATTATAATTATTTTTTTTTAATTTCATCATTTAATTAAAATGTTATAATTTATTTTAATTTATTTTTTTATATTTATTTCTATCTTTATTTTTTAAAATCCTTCTAAATTCATTTACATTTTGAATCCTTTTGCGTGCTTTTTTTTCATCTCTCAACCTTTAATTTATTAGGGATTGAGATTCATGATATTTTTATGTATGGTGTTTGTAGTCTAATAACTTGATATATGAGTTAGAAAAGTAAATGGG